GGTACATTCTTAGTGAATTATTTGCCTGGTCTTGTGTTATTCAACTCGGGCGCAAGTTGGTCCTTTGTATCCCACTCTTTTAGTATGGATTTCGATATGACCCTTGGCGAGTTGGAGTGGCTGTTGCGGGTTTCTATCGCCAATGAACATGGGATTTCTACATCCAGAGTGTATCAAGGTTGTGTCTTGGAGATCTTCCGGGTGCCTTGTTCGATTGATTTGATTCTTATCCCCATGGAGGTGTATGTGTGGTACTAGGGATGGATTGGCTGAGCAGGTTTGGTGCTATGATAGACTGCGAGGGTCAGCGAGTGGTAGTTCGAACCCCAAGTGGGGTAGAACATGTCATCTATGGAGAGGGTAGCAGGATTGGGTCAGGTTCTATTCGACGACCAGGGCTCGACAATATATTCAGCACGAGTGTATGGGTTATCTGGCCTACGTGGTTGATACACAGATTAGGGAGCAGGCATTGGTTTCAGATGTACAAGATTTTAGGGAGTTTACTGATGTGTTTCCGGAGGAGTTAACCGTTGTGCCTCTCGAGAGGCAGGCTGAGTTCAGGATTGACTTAGTGCCAGATGCGGCTCCGATTGCCAAGGCGTTGTACCGTTTGGCACCGCCTGAGATGCAGGAGTTGTCCTCTCAGCTTCAGCAGCTGTTAGGCAAGCAGTTCATCAGACTGAGCAGATCGCCATGGGGAACACCGATTTTGTTCGTCAAGAAGAATGATGGTTCATACCGGATGTGCATTGATTACCCAGAGTTGAACAGGTTGACGGTGAAGAACCGTTATCCCCTTCCGCGGATTGACGACCTATTTGATTAGTTGCAGGGTGCATCTTGGTTCTCCAAGATCGATCTGAGGTCGAGGTATCATCAGGTGAGGGTTAGAGAGGAGGACGTGGAGAAGACAACATTTCATACTTGTTATGGTCATTACGAGTTCGTGGTGATGCCATTTGGGCTCACCAATACGCCTTCCGTGTTTATGAATTTGATGAATCGGGTGTGCAGGCCGATGCTCGATCGATAAATTATTGTTTTTATTGATGATATCTTGGTGTATTCCAAGACCATAGAGCAACACGAGGAGCACATTCGAGATCTTTTGGGAGTATTGAGGCGGGAACGACTATATGCCAAGTTCTCGAAATGTGAGTTTTGGTTACGAGAGGTCCATTTCCTAGGACATCTCGTTAACCAGAACGGGATTTTGGTCGATCCAACCAAGATTAAGGTTGTGATGCAGTGGGAGGTTCTGAAGTCCCCCTCAGAGATTAGGAGTTTCTTGAGTTTAGCAGGATATTATCGGAGATTTATTCAGGATTTCTCTAAGATTGTTGTACCCCTCACTCGTCTGACGAGGAAGGGCGTGGATTTCTATTGGGGCCCTGAGCATCAGACAATATTTAAGAAACTACGACAGAGGTTATGTGAGGCCCCATTGTTGACCCTTCCGGAGGTTGTTGAGGATTTCATTGTATTTTGTGATGCATCCATCACAGGTTTGGGGGCGGTTCTTATGCAGAGAGGCGCGAGTGATTGCGTATGCTTCCCGACAGCTGAAGCCGCATGAGGCATGATATCCTACTCATGATCTAGAGTTGGAGGCTACAGTTTTTGCTCTCAATATTTGGAGACATTATCTGTATTTGAGACTAAGATGAAGGTCCTATGCAACAAGGAGCTACCTTTGGTAAAAGGTTCAGTGGCAGCATCGGAAAGGCTCTGAGTGGACCTGGGAGCTGGAGATGGAGATGCGGGAGCATTATCTTGAGTTATTCGTAGCATCGGACTTTGAGGACGAAGTCTAGTTCAAGTGGGGGAGAATTATAAGACCTGTCTCGAGAAGGTTCATTTTTAACCCTAAATATGTTAAGTTTACCTTTTTGGTCTGTATGTCGTGCGTACTTGGAGTGTATGCATGGCGTACTCATGCATGAGAAAAGTGGGACTCGCACGCGTACGCCAGGCGTACTCAGCAGGTACGCCGCGCGTACGCTGTTCAGACCCAAACCCCAATTTTGAGGGTTTGCACCCTATATAATCTCCTTATGGACCCAATACCTTCACCCTCATAAACCTCCACATAAAAATCGTCCCTCTAGCTAACCCTAAGTGTAAAGAGTTCATATTTGAGCTCATTTGTGTGTTTTGGTGATGTTCTTGAAGAAGAAAAAGTTGGTAGAAGGACATTGGAGCTTGGAAGAAGCTTGGATCTGGGATTCTCACCTTGCTAGTAACCTTTTGGAGGTAAAAAGCTCCTAGCTTGATCATCTTTTCTTATGGATCTAGTTATTACTTCATTTAGGGCATTTTTAGTCCCAACCTTTGTGATTCTTGAGCATGACATGCTCTTAACCAAATAAGTCATCCTTGCAGACCCGATGAGGGGTCTTGAGTCATAAAAATGAGATCTTGATGCTTAGTTCTTCCCCATGCATGCTCTAGAAGGTCTTTAGGTGTTAAGAAGTTAAGTTGCTTGGTATTAAGCACTTAATAGGAATGCAAAGTCATAAAGTTGGAAAATTTATGACTCTTAAAGGTATTATTGCCTTGGATCTACATTTGGAACATGAGAGCTTAACGCATTAAGCTCTTATTAGGGAAAAGGACTTTGGTGCGTATGTCATGCATATCCCAGTGTACGCCGCGCGTACAAGGTCAACCTCCTCATCTCGGTCAAGGCTTGAGTACGCCCAGTGTAGGAGTTGAGTACGCCCCACATACTCAGCTGAGTTGACCGAATTGACTCGTTGACCTTGACCTTTGACCAGAGTTTTGACCAAGTTGGACCTAGGGGTATTTTGAGCTGTTAATTGAGATTTGGTCCTTGGTTTTGGTTAGGTGATCATTGAGTCGATTTTTTGGAACAAAGATTTATTTAACTTGTATTCCAACTGAGAGGTGAGTTTTCCTCACTGTACATACGGGTCGAAGACACCAATGCCGACCCAACAGATTATGTATCCTGTTATAGGATGTTGCTATGATGTAGTGATCTGTTAAGATCTGCATGTTTATCTGTTAACTAGTATATGTTTATCTGTTATGAATATGTTGACATAATATGGTTGGGTTGAGGCCGTACTGCTTTATACGGTAGCCAACAAACCCGGGAGCAATCCAGACATAAGCTGTGGGGCCCGAGGGCAAGCCTGACTTATGATGTGGGCTCGGGAGCAATGATGACCCGATAGACATGCCAGACTCATACTGTGGGCTCAAGGGTAATCTGTTTTTTAGATGTGGACCCAATATATGTTGTTATATGTATGTGTGTGTTGGTACTTTGGGGGGAACTCACTAGGCTTTGGCTTATAGCTTTTAGTTTATCGTTTCAGGTACTTCTGAGGATTGTGGGAAAGCAAATGCGTGATCGTACGCAACTTCCTATTTTATGTCACTGAGTCTTGGGAAAACTCTGATTTGAAATAATGCTTTTGAAACATTTACTCTCTTTGTAAATAATGTTGAATAATGGTTGGTTTTGAAAATTTTAAATTTCTTTGAGTTTTGGAGTGTTACAAAGAGAAAGAAAATCAAGTATAGAAAATGGAGCAATTATGTCTTTGTATATGTTTATTTTATTTATATTCTTTTTTTAATCTATTGTGTATATATTTTATTATATTATAAGGTAAATGGATAAATTATGTTTTTGCATATGTTTATCTCATTCGTGTTGCAAATTGGAGAAAAACAAAAACTTAGTGTCAAAATTGGAAAAGACAGAAAACTTAGTGTCAAAACCATAAAAAAATGAAAACATAGTGTCATTTTTGCCACTTTTTTCACTTCTGACACGTCAGTAGTGGAAACCGGATGACCTAAAGTAATCGGTCAACTGGTCAGCATTATAACAAATTGAAAACATAATGATTTAATTATAAAAGAAAAAAACGCGTTGTCAAAATCGATAAAAAAAAAAAAAAAAGTTAGTAATTTTTGTACTATTTACCTTTTAAATTTTATCTCGTAAAGAAATAAACGACCTCATAATTGTTTATTATTTCTTTAATTTAAAAAAGAAGTATTCGGATAATTGTTATTAAACATTTATTCTTAATTTAATAAAATATATTAGTTGTTTGTTTTATAGCATTTTTTAAATAGCTTGTCAGTTACGTTTTACCAAATATCATTAATCATCAATTAGCTTTTCAGCCATCAAATTAGCAGACTAATATTTCAATTAACAATTAGTTTTTCAGTTACTTTATTAAATATGCTCTAACGTTTCTTTTTTAAAACCAAATGGTTGTTATTTCTTTGGTCGATTGGTGTGATGATTTTGAAGCTTGAGTTGTCGTTATGTTTATGTTTTTGTTTTGTATCTTAACTCTGATATTGTTTATATTTTTTTAAAAATCTTTTTTTATATTCGAGTTCTCTGCTTTTCTTTATAAAATGCATGCCATTTCAAAATAATACACTTTTGAGAATGTATTAATGTTAAACTAAAGTCAATGTAAACTAGTCCACCAATATCAACACTTCTTGACTGTTACTAAAAAAAACTCCTTTCCAATAAATTTGTCTTAATTATTTTTGATATGTTAATTATTTTTTTTATAGTTACATAAAAGTAAATAAATGAAGATATTTTAAAAATTGAAATTTTAATTTAAAAAAAGCGAAAACCTGGGCCGCAAATCCGATCGCCGACTTCAGCACCAACGGACATGAGTCAAAGCAACACCCACCAAATCCGTCCAAACTAAATGACGAACTCCATGACACAATACTCTCCCCCGCACGTGGGGTCAAAACCTCCCACACGTGTCTCACAACTATTTGTTCGTCGACTCCTCCCTTTTGTCTTTCAGCACGCCATGAAAGCGAGAGGCTGCGTCAACAAGCCCTTCTTCACCAAGCAAATCCTCTCTCTCATGCTACTTCGTGGAACCAACATTTTCTTTCATCCAGATTCAATGCCTCACGTGTTCCCTTTCTTCTATATAACTTCTCTCGTTGCTTCTTCACTAGTGTCGAAAACTGAAAAACCCTAGCAGAGCATTACAACTTAGAGCAAAGGAATTTTGAAGTTTTTGAAGGTTGAAGATTAACTCATAATGACTGGAGATAATTTGGTGTTGCCTCCTGGATTTAGATTCCATCCCACGGATGAGGAATTGGTTATGCATTACCTTATCAAGAAATGCGCTTCTCAAACGATTTCGGTTCCTATTATTGCTGAGATTGATTTGTATAAGTTCGATCCGTGGCAGCTTCCTGGTGAGTTTCAGCTTTTTCGATCTTGTTTTTGATTTCGATTCTATCACGTCAAGTTTGAAATCAGAGTTTTTAGATGTTCTGTTTGTTTTTTCAAAATCGAGTATGAGTTCAAGGAATTTTATCAGAATAAGTTTCAAATCCTCTGATTTTGTTTCAAATTGATCTCATCAATGGTTGTTATTTGGAATTTCAATCACGGAAATTCACGATCTCAAGTGCTTCTAATCCAAATCGGAGGATTTTTTTTAAAGAAAATTCTACGATTATGTCTCCAAAATGAAATTCGTTCAAAATTCGATCCTTCTGTTTTTCTATAACTTTGAAACGACTGTTAAATTCTATGAATCTGTTTCAGAACTCGATTATGCGATTGTGATCTAGATTTAGATTCATTAATTCATCGATATTGATTCTGTTTTTGTTTTGATTTGAACAGAGATGGCTCTGTACGGAGAAAAGGAATGGTACTTTTTCTCACCTAGAGACAGAAAGTATCCAAACGGATCTCGACCTAACAGAGCCGCCGGAACTGGTTACTGGAAAGCCACCGGAGCAGACAAGCCGATCGGAAAACCAAAAGCCGTCGGAATAAAGAAGGCGTTGGTGTTCTACGCCGGAAAAGCTCCGAGAGGCGTTAAAACGAATTGGATTATGCATGAATATCGTCTCGCGAACGTCGATAGATCCGCCGGCAAACGGAGCAACAATCTAAGGGTACTTACTACTTTCCGATCTTCCTCCAATTCCCTCATTGTACACATTTCAATGCATAATGTCCAACCAATTATTGAATCCATGACTAATTGTTTTATTTATTTATTTATGCAGTTAGATGATTGGGTATTATGTCGGATATACAACAAGAAAGGGGTATTGGAAAAACATTTAAATGCAGAAACAAAATCAATACAATTTTCTGAGGTGAAAATTGAAACAAAACCGGATATCACAGCATATTCTCCCGTGGCTAAAACGTCATCGTTTCAAGCACCATTGTCATCAGTACCTCATCACGTCATGGATGACGGATTTAATTTCGAAACATCGGATTCAGTTCCCACTTTACACACGGATTCAAGTTCAGAACACGAAAGAGAAGTTCAAAGTGAAGCTAAAAGAGAAGATTTTCAATATAATTATATTGATCCGTTTGCAGATGACGCTTTTACCCCTCAAAGTCAATACTACGATTATCAACTCTCTCCTTTACAAGATATATTCATGTTCATGCCAAAATCATTTCAAATGTAATAAAAAAAGAAACTATGGCAACATGTGTACATGAAATGGAGTTTTGACCAGAGTACAATCATCCCAGCATGATGTACAAGTTGGAGAAGCCGCAATAGTTGAAGGGGTTTAGGCCCATGACATTCAATTGGGCTTGTTGACTTTGACTCTTTGGGCTGACCATTGAAGAAACGTGAAAACCGTGAAGGGCAATACTGTCATTTTGCATATGTAGATCCTAAGTTTATTCCATGTTAATATTAGCATTCTTTTGGTAGGGAGAGCATTTTACACATGTAGGAGAGGAGTAGGACGTTCTCTTTCTTTCATTTATTAGAATGTGTATTCTAAAAGAAAAGTAATTACAAAAATCTTATATTTCATTTTTTTATGCCATTTATTTTATTTTTTATTCGGATTTTAAATAAACAAGTGTTTTTTTTTTCAAAAGAGATATAGACTGTTAAATTAAATTTAATAAATTAACGACTTGATAAATAAAGTTTGAATCGACGGAGATTCCATCCTTATCTAAAAATAATAATAATAATTATTATTATTATTATTATTATTTATTTTTATTTTTTACAAAAAATCAAAAAAAAAAAATCAGATTTTATTTAATGAATATTATCATTTTTATAGACAGAATTTTGTTATCTTTCCCATAACACATTTTAATCTCTTCAAATACCAACTATTCAAGAAATATTATTTCTTTAAAAATCATTCTACAAAAATAAACCCCTGAATTTTATAAAATTATATGGTTTGTATATAAAGTCAAGTAGAATAATAAATTTTCAACATTTAACATGTTTTTAAAAGAAAAAAAGAAAAGAATTGATTCTTATCAACTCAGTTGTTTCTTGTTTGTCTTTTTTCGGCACTTTTTTTCTTTGGTGAAAGTTGGTGCTAAGTTTATCTCGTTATCTATTTTATCATTCCACACTTCCGCATTGATTTCGATTTACATGTTTAACATAAATTTTTTTTAATGGTGAGAACTCTCTTTTTCTAATATGGTTAGGGTTGTTCATTGTTCGGTTTTAGATAAAACCGAATTGTCTAATTGGACAATTTGGATTGGACTATTTGGTTTGGATAATTGGATTTTTTGATTGTTTTTTAGCAAAACCGAGTTTTTATTTTGGATTTCGGATTGGTTTTGGTTTATAAAATAAAAAACCGAATAGTCCAAAAAACCAAATAACTATTTATCATTTGTTTATTTATATACATTCTTTGTTTTTAATATACTTCTTTTAATTATTTTTTAAGTGTAAATTGTTTTTTTAAATAGATTTGAATGTATTACCCAATAAAAAACCTAAATATGTACTTCTCAAATGTTTTATCTATAGAATATTAAATGATAACACATTTTTCTTAACGGTTGTTCATAGATTTTAATTCACAACTAAACAATTTATTTTTGTTTAATTTGTCTAACATTCAGGTTTTATAAGTTTTAAATGTTATATCTCTTGAAAACTGAATTGTAAAAACCGATCCAACCGAATTGTAATTTGGTTGGTTCGGATCGAATTTGAATTTAGTTTGGATTGTTCGGATCCATGTTTTGAAAACCGAAATCCATTTGGATTCACTTGATTGGATCGGATCGAATCGATCCATCCAAACGAACACCCCTAAATATGGTTGTTTTGTAAATTTCATGGTTGATTTTTTTTTTTTTATAAATTTACATTTTATATAATTTTTTTAGTAAGACAAAATTAGATATATAATGTTTAATAAATAATTGAAAAATTAGAAGATATACTTGGTGAAAAAAAAATGAAAACAAATTAATAAAAATGTTAGGAATTAATTGATGTGGAAAACTCATTTGATTGGACTTTCACAGTTTCACTATCAAATAGTTATGTGTTCATGCTATTAAACAAAATCCACTAGATAATAGTTTATTATATTCTTGTATGACTTTTGTCATGTAGTCTTCGTATGTGACAATGAATCCTCTATGAGAGTAATAAAAACAAAACATGTGAAATTGAAAACGAACGTAAGATAAACAAACAAAACCTTGTATAGTTAGAGAAGAAAGTGTCAATTATTTATAATTATTTGGATTTATTTGAAGGTTAATTTGGTTGAATACGAAAGTCAAAACATTTTGTTTTTGATAGGTATGCCAACAAACACCACCCTTGAATGACTTGTAACTTCATGATTATCTTATTTCGACTATGCTTTTTTGGTCAAAATAAATTTCTAAAGTTATTTAAAGTCATCGTCTTTTTGGAAGTGAAATCATTAAGCTTTGTTGTACGCACTAGAACCCGTTATTTGGTTCTTGTAATTTGAAGTTTCGATCATCACTTTTAATAGTTTGGATAAACGATGTTGACTTCGGTTATCCAATTTTTACAAGTTTAATTGTTTGGATAAACGACTTTGACTTCAATTATCTAATTTTTAAAAGCTAAATAATCACTTTTCGTACCATTTGTAATGTTAGTATTAAGGATTTAGATAAACACATAAACCGCGGTCACACAACAATTAAAGATGCGAAAAAAATAAAGAAGACAAAAATTACATTAAATCGAGCTACGTCTACAAACGGACTAAAAATATATTTTATTAATACTAAGTTGTCATGCACTTTTTGTGCCAGGGTTACATTCATAAAATGGAACTTTATTTATAGAGGTTAGTTAACCTAAAATCTATTATGGGTTGAGCCGAAAAAATGTATGTAACAACCATCTCATAAAATATTGCAATCTGTCAAAGCGCAGTTGCTTACATCACAATAATAACTACAATCATACACTGTAGCGAAGCCAGAAACCAAAGCACGATTGCAGAGAAATTAAGCTTCAGCTTCGCCTTTGGTGTTTCTTCAAGTTTCGGCCTCTTCAGTGTCAGAGGTGCAATACATGCCTTTGAGCTTCGTTGTGACCTATCAACTTGGAGGGCAAGTGTTTTTTTGTGGTCAACAACACTAAAAATGAATTCTATGGTTTGTAACCCTATGCAGTGGCGGACCTTAGTGGGGCATTTGGGGTCCCGGGCCACTGCTCAATTTCCGGCACGCAGTGTAATTTTTTTTTTCTATTAGGTGCACCCGCTTGAAGTATGAGGGACACCCCTACTAAAACAGTCTGCGTCCGCCACTGACCCTATGAGTGTGTAAATTGTAAATGCTAAATAGGTTGCGTATGTATAACATTGATAATCAATAAACGATATCTTTCTAGTTTGCTTGTGGGTACAATTGTCATATTTTTAATTAAAACAGACATATCGTTAAAGGTGATGAAGTATAGACCAAAACCATTATTAAACATGAAAATTAGGACATAAATGCAAGATGGATGATTCATGACTAAAATTGCAAAAATGAACTAAAAGCAGGGGACATTTTTGTAATTTACTCTATTTTATCTATACAAGTCAAAGTAAAAGATTTAATTAATAAGAACGTGGGCCAAATATTTGTAGAACGATTCAAGCAGGTAGCAAGTGGGACGAATTATATCAATATGCATAGCACCTTCAAATCACCAAAAATTTAAATTAGTATTCAAAAGTCGGAGGAATCATTTGAAATATATATATATATATATATATATATATATATATATATATATATATATATATATATATATATATATATATATATATGTTTCGGTGTCAAAGGTTGAAAAGCAATCTATTTTAAAACATTTCCAGTTGGCATCAAGGGGTATTTTCGTCATTTTAAAAAACTTGGAATACACGCGAATCGTGCCAACGGCAGAGAAAATCTCGAAAGGCAGTTAACACCCGTACACTATATTCTGTACCAACAAAAAGAAAAACCCAAGCCGCTTTTCAAACTCATCTTCCTCTTCGATCTTCAAACGCTTAACGCGCCTAATCAAAACGTAAGTTTAATTCTTGCTTTTTATGCAATTGTTACTTGTTTCGTTTCTGAATCGATCTTATGGATGTTATAGATGTTTTATACTGATGAGTTGTTTCATTATAATGTACGGATTTTTTTTGTTTGTATTTTGATTGCATTAGTTAACCGTCTTAGATTCTTTTGTATTTTGATTGAGTAAGTTAATCGAAGTTCATTGTGTAATTCGATCAAATGTGCGAATTGTTCAGTTCATTTCTATTTTTGGATAATTTTTCTAGGGTTTTGTCTTTTGCTTTTTATGCAAGCATAACTTGTTTCCTTTTTTATGTTGATGAGTTTTTTTTTTTTCTTTTCATTATAATCTATAAAATTTTCTGTATTTTGATTGCATAAACTGTTTAAGAAATGTTTTGTATTTTCATTGCCTAAGTTAATCGAGTTTCATTGTGGTCCTTAATTGTTTTGTTGATCTCTGTTTGTTGCAATTTTTTCTAGGGTTTTGACTTTCGCGCGTCTTTTTGATTAATTCTAGAGTTTTAATGTAAATTGGATGTAGAACGAGTATTGCAATTTCATTGTTTCACACTGGAAAACTAAGTGTGCATATGCTTCTGGTTGCGTCAATAGAGGATTACACCTCTCTTTGCTCGATTTACTGTTTCCCTAGAAATGATGCAAATAAGTCAAAAAACTTCCTACTTTCGATCATATTTATTTGATTTTCATAAGTCAAATCAAGTGGCAGATTCAGAATTCTAATCATCTTATCAACTATTGCTTCCCCTGACTTGATTTCGACATTGCTACTTTACTTGTACAAAATGTTTTTCCCTTGAAGTAACATTTTGTTTCAATCTGACATTCAAATAGTGTTCAAATTTTGTTTCTAGGTGTATTTGAATATCTCTTGATGTATATACCAAGTGCCATTGTTAGTATGTACATGATCCTTATATATATTGAGTCAATTTGTTGTTTCCAGATTTGAATCATGGGTCAGTGTTTTGGATGCATTCAAGTGGGGCAATCCACTGTAGCTGTGAAAGAACATTTTGGCAAGTTTGATAAAGTACTTGAACCCGGTTGTCACTGTATGCCTTGGTGCTGTGGATACAAGTTGGCTGGAAAGCTCTCATTACGTGTGAATCAGCTTGATGTTCGTTGTGAAACAAAAACAAAGGTTTCATTTTTAGCATTTCTTTATCTTGGATTTTAATTGATTATTTCCATTTTTAAAATTTTCATCTTATGCAAAACTATATTGTTGAATTTCAGGACAATGTGTTTGTTACTGTGGTTGCTTCTGTTCAGTATCGTGCCTTGTCTGATAAGGCTTCTGATGCTTTCTACAAACTCTCAAACACCAAGCAACAAGTTCAAGCTTATGTCTTTGATGGTAAGATCCAATGGGTATATCAGTCATTTCATCAGTTTTGT